TGATTTTTAATTACGTTTACTAAAATGCTCTAAGAAATTTTTACCTCTCTATTCCTTCTCATCCCCACTGACATCCATATTTTCGTAGCCTCCTCGCTTTTCCGCCTTCCTTTTTGGTCGCTTGCCCGCGCTAACTGCCTTTAAGGATTCACTCTCTGCTGCTTGCGATTCTGGTGTTATTGCTGTGGGTGGTGGGTTTGCCTGTGCTGGTGCAACCGGAGCCGGTGTTATTGGTGCTGCGGGTGATGGAGTTGCTTGTGCGGCTGCCACTGCTGCTTGTGCTGCTGCTGCTAATGCTGGTGCTGTTGATGCTGCTTGTGCTGGTACTGCTGATGACATTACGGATGTTGATTGACCTGCGTCTTGTATAGACATAGCTGATACAAGCATACCTGAAACAGTTTATTTTTCTGCATAATTTCAGTATAATCCCTGGCTCGAATTTGTGTAGTGGTATGGATGCAGAAAACGCATGATCGTAACCGTTAAAAAATTGCTGGTTACTTAATTGGAAGACCAAACGACAAATTAATGGCTATTTTGGGTTTGTAGTGCCAAATATTCGCTAGAAACATCCCTATGGAAGTGAAGTTTAAATTAGAAGTCGAATGCAGACGAGAGAATCGAATTACGCAGGAGAAGCCGTCCCGCATTTGCATGATCATAAACAATTTCTTCACTAATTCGTAAATCATATCCTTTCATTCGAAAGTTTCTATTCTTTTAAGTTATCTGCACACACTATTATCAAACCACGCAGTTGTCCATTAGCGTTACTTCAGGTATTTTAAACTTGGGATTTGGTGATTCAGGAAAAAATGATCTATGATTAAAACTTGCTCCTTCGACGCGTGATAACTGGCTCAGTGGGAACAAAACAGGATTGTTTACAGAAAAGTTGAGGTATCTTCAACAAACAGCGAGTGGGTAAAAAAACACATCTAACATTCCTCTTCGGATGAATGAAGAAAGCAGGAAAAGAAATAATGAGGCTATCTAACTGCCCTGTGATGGTGGTCACAGTTACAGAAAAGTTGCCAGTTGCTCTGACAGCATCAATCTGCACCAAAACTCGTTCTCGATGAATTATACTTATCCAAACCAGGTGAGTGAGTAGAACATAGCAAAGTATAGGAACCGGATAATAACCTGAACCACTGGGTGCAGAGGCATATTTCATGATTTTCTTTCCTCTTAGGTTGTAGCGACAAACGACTGGAGTTGTGCAAATTTAAAATCAAGCCCAAACACGATCGATTATCAGCCTTTCGAGATCTATTAACAGGCAGACTGCTGAATGTTTTTTTTTTTTTGAAAGTACTTCGGGGTTTCTGTCAGAATTTCTAATTGAAGATGCAGGAATCCAGCCCCGAGACTTAAGACGCTGCCCTTAAATGAGAAGCATGATTTTTCTTTGTTTCGGCAATATTCTAAGCTGACTGGCATTTTTAGACATTTCTTGTCTACTCATATAAATTGTATCTGAAAAGCTAAAATAAAGCACACTTGTCGATCATTTTTAAACGAATTGCTATTTATCTACCGGAATTGGTTTTTGACGCTATATAAAGATCTCTTCAGCGCTTTTTGCCCTTCAACTATCGTTAAAAGCACTTCTTTCTGAACTTCTGCATACTAATCGGGTTCCGTATTTTAATTTTGATCTGTAAACTGATGTACATAATGCACTTAATTTTTTTAAAGGAAAATTTGCTGTGTGAAATGAATTCTTTACTTTGCATGTTAGGGTCCATCAACATTGAGCATGGTACCGGTCCTGTCATTTCAGACACTGTCATATCAGTAGTGTCACTGAAAATTAGCGCATCATTACTAGAATGCCACTACAGCACTGTTGTAAAGAAGATCAAGACATACGTAAAAATACATTGTTCGCTATCTATGCCTTAATCACTATAAGGGCATTTATTAAATTCCAATTTGACCGAATAGGGCGACGAGCTATAAACGGCTGGTAGTGGGGCGGTAGGGTGGTGAAGGGGTTGAGAGCCGAAAATGACATTTCAAGCCCAGGAGGTTGTAAAAGACAAAGTCAAACGGAATTATTGACCGAAAAGCAGTTGAGACCTTGTCTGGAGGTGGGGATTGGAAACGGAAGCGAGATCTGTGAAAAGAAGGGTTTGCATGGGATTTTCTATATCCAGCATGGGAAAGCTACTGAGAAGTTAGCAGTCTTGAATGTGACACCTAGAATCTCATACAGACAAAGCTTGAAAACCCCCCCCCCCCCAAAAAAAAAAAAAAAAAAAAAAAAAAAAAA